AGGAGTGTTTAAATCATTAATATTTAATGTAATTACTTATTGATATGGTTGACTTTAGGTGTACCATTTTTATTGTCTTTGTTTACCTCTTTTTTTTTGTTCTCTCTTTTTTTGCTCTTTTAGATGATTATGATGATAACTTGAGTATCCTAGTGTCTGTTGCCTTTTTTGGCTGTATTTTCTCATATTAATTTTTTATGCCCATGGGATTACAATATACATCCCTAACCTTTCACAGCTTACTTAGGGTTATTGTTTTACTGCTTCACTTAAAACAGAAACCTTTCACTTAAAAGAGAAACGTTGCAACCATACAGATCTTTTTATTTCCCTTTACCCACTGACTTGTATGGTATATATGACAGTATTTTCATATATGTATGGCTACATGCTTTGAAAACCTCACCAAATAATATGTTTTTTACTGTAAGTAGACATACATATTTTAAAGAACCTAAAGGAAAAATGTAGTATTTTGTGTTTTCTTACATATTTATTATTTCTGTGGTTCTTCTTTTACTCCTGAAGATGAAACATTTCCTTTCTCCCTAATGTTTACTGTAGCATTTCTTGTAGAGACGTCTACTGGGGATAAATTCTCCTTGTTTCTGTTTATCTGAGAATGTCTTATTTTCCTTTCATTCCTGGAGGATATTTTAAGAGAATATGGAGTTCTGAGTATACACTTGTTTCCCTTCAGCACTTTAGTGATGTTGTTCCAGTCAGTATCTTTTCACCTCTGTGATTTCTGACAAGAAATCTTTGACAATTGAAGTCTGTTCCTTTCTCTATATTATTATTTTTCTTTAGCTGTTTTCAAGATTTTTTGTTTTGTTTATAGAAGTTTGCTTGGGTTGTCTAGCCATTGTTTTCTTTGGAGAATGCTAACCTTCTTGAATCTGTAAATTTATGTCTTTCATCAGTTTTAGGACTTTTTCTGCCATTAATCCTTGAACTATTCTGCCCATGTCTTTCTTGCCTATTAAGATTCCAATGACAATTACAATACAACTTTTGAGATTTTCCGACAGGTCTCTTAGGTTTCTTTTTGTCATCCTTTTCTCTTTGTTCTTCAGATTGGGTAATATTTTTTCTTTTTTCTTCCTTCCTTCCCTCCCTCCCTCCTTCTCTCTCTGTCTCTTCTTCTTTCTTTGGCAGTAATGGGGCTTGAAATCAGGGCCTCTACTATTGAGCCACTCCCCAAGCCCTTTTTGCTTTAGTTATGTTTTGAATAAGGTCTTGTGTTTTGGCTCTGATCAACTTGGACTGTGATCCTCCTGTTTAGACATAGCTGGGATAATGGATATACCCCACCATGCCCAGCTTTGATTGAGATGGGGGTCTCACTAACTTTTTGCCTAGGCTGGCCTTAGTCACCATCCTCTCCATTTGTGCCTTGTGATGGGATTATAAGTATGAGCCACTGTGCCTTGCCAGATTAGGTAATTTTTATTGATCTACTTTTAGTCCATAGACTTTTTTGTCATTTCCGTTTTTATTGAATCACTTAGTAATTTTAATTTTATATATTAAGTTGAATTTAGTTTCTTAAAAAATACTTTCCTCTACTGACAAATTCATTCCATGTACTTCTGTTGTCTTTGCCTTTTACTTCATGAAGTATTTTTATAGTAGTTGTATTAAAGCCATTGATGAATAATTATAACATCTAGATCATCTTAGGGTTGGCATCTCTTGATTATGTCTTTGAGATTACATTTTTCTTTTTGCATTGTGAGGATTTTGGGCTGTATCATGAGTATTGTGAATGTTACATTTCATAATCTCTAGGATTTATTATTCTCTGGAGAAAGCTGATTTTTATTGTTTCTTTTAGCAGACTATCAGCCCATTTAGGTTCAGACAGCAAATTTGGTCTTGCCTTCTGTGGGTGGTGTTTCAAATCTGAGTTTAGTTCTCAGATCTTTTGCTGTGCTGGTGCAGACTGACATGACATATACCTGTGCAGCTGCAGAGTAAGCTCAAGATTTACAGGGATTTTTGGATAGGATTAGGATATCTCTTTCTATAGATTTCTTTTTAGGACTTCCTGAACATTCTACAGTATGCAGAAAGGCTCCTTTCTAGTTCTGGCCAGAAAGGTAGGGATTCTCTTGGATTTTTAACTACTGGAGTGTTGTCTTCTAGTGCAGGCATTGCTTCCTGGCCTTCAGGCAAAGCTGTTGGAGAAAGGAGAAAAAAAATAATCAAATTGGAAAATTACAATTTTTCTGAGTTTGGACTCCTGTCCACATCTGTTTTTGTTTGAATTTCAGAGTCCTCAAGTAATATATTCTCACGTCTTATTTCTTCCTCTCTCCCCCGCCCTGTGTTCCCCTGTTTTTGTCACTTGGAATTGGGATAACTCAGCTATTTTCTGTACCATCTACTAGAGTTTTTCCTTAGAATCAAGGTCTAGTTACACTTCATAGTAATTGGCTTCATATTGCTCCCATTCTGAACTTCCTATCTTTTTCTGCTTTACTCATGATTTTTCCTACTGGGGATTATTTCTTAAATACAACCACTTCTTGTGACTCCTCGAATCAAAGTCTGGTGTAGGGGAAACACAAATCAAAATAGATACTTCACTTGAGTATAGGAATAATAATAAGTAAAATTTGCTTAGCGCAGATGAGAAAACTTGGACCCAGAGAGGTTAAGTAGCTTTCCCAAGAGCACAGAGCTAGTAAATGACAGGGCTTGCATTTGGACCCAGGCCATTTGTAAACTTTGTAATGGAGATTGAGAATGGGGATGAGGGTAATTAGTGAAGTCCTGATGAAGACTGGGTATAAGGAAAGCAAGTGGAATACACTCCTAATGGTGTCATCATTTTATCAAGTAAGGAGGTTAGATCCTCTGCTCTGAGTTATGAGTGGGGATTGAAGTGGCTACAAATTGGTGTACAGTGATCCTATAGATATCTGCTTAATTGACATTTCTGGCTAGATATCCTTTAGACACATTGGTATTTCTATGGATCTATCCTTGGTCCTCTGCTTATTTTACTCTGAGTAAAGCATGTATAGCTGTAAGCTTTGAACTTCCTTATTTTCTCCCCCTCTTCTCTCCTTCCCTCTTACTCTTCTTTCTCAAAATTTCATTGAGTGCTATATGTTCCAGCCATTCTTTGTCTTTTCTGGACAAAGAAGGTAGAGCAAGGAACAAGACATAACATGGCCTCTGCCATATTGAAGCTCATAGTTTGCTGAGACGGGCATTAAACCATTATCTTATATATAATTACAGTTATAGGTTATGAAACAAAAAATAGTGAATTGAGAGTGTGCATTAAGGAAACTTACACAATCTATAGAATCAGGAATACTTTCCTGACTCAGTGACAGGGACCTCAAAGATGAGTAGTGGATAACAGGAAATGTGGAAGAGAATTTCAGGTAGAGGAGAAGCTTTGTGAAAGCATGGAAGGAGCTCAGCATGTTCGGAACAATTGAAGGAATGTCCTTATGGCTGGAAGATGAGGAGAGGTACACAGAATGAAGCAGGAAAGGTTGGCTGAGGTTAGACATTGGAAGAGGATGTTTTAAACCATGTCAGCACATTTGGATTTTAAAGAGACTTTAAAAGATACTGAAGTTTAAGTGGGGGAATTGCTTACTTAAATATGTGTTTTCAAAAGGTGACTTGGGTTCCTATGTGAAGAATAGGCTTAAGTGGGGAGGGGTAAATGTGGATGTGCAGAAGTGAGTTAAGGTGTTGACAGTAGTCCAGTCAAGAGACCATGGTAACTTACTAGTGTACCTGCAGCAGAGATGTTTTGGCAGAACCAAGAACTATTTATGAGATACGATAGATAAGATTTTGTGATTATTGTAATTTAAGTAGTGAAGCCTAAGGAAGTATCAGGGATCAAATTTCATGTCCTAGTTATTCATGTCTGTGTTACTGATATTTTAGTATCTTGAACTCAAAACATTTTCAAAATGAAACCGATTTGGGCAATGGCTTCCCTACCTCTGAATTAGCTAGGTTTAAACTTTTTTTTTTTTTTGTCACTGCTTGTACCAAATTAGTTACCAGGTCTTAAAGGACTTGACCTCCTCAGCATCTAAAATTGTCATTGTTGTCATCATCATCATCTCCTCTTCCTCTTCCTCTCCCCTTCTCTCCTCCTTTTTTGTCTTTATTATTGCACTAGCATCCTTTTGCTAGATCATTGAAATGTGCTTTCCATTTGAGACTCTGAGCTCTTCTAGGGCAAAAGCTGTCTTTTTCATTTTGTGTTTTTACTGCCTAGCAGTGTGCATTTCAGAATGGTGAGCATAAAAAATACTAAATGAAATGAAAGTGTTTGCCTTGCCTCCTGTTCTTTCCACTATAATTCTTATTCTTTACTGCATTTTTTTTTTTTGGTCTTTTTCAGAGTCATTCAGGGGATTACTTTTTGATTTTTTTCCCTTGATGGTACTGTGATTTGAACTCATGACTTTGCACTTGCTAGGCAAGCACTCTACCATTTGAGCCATACCTCCAGCCTCCTTCTTAAAGAATAGAGACTCAGGGCCATGAGATACTGAAAAAATAGTTGCTGGATATACAAGTATATGAGTTCAAGAGTTTTATAGTTATTTTATAGCAATTTAGTAAAAAGTGATTTTTTTTTTTGCCTTGTAGCCCTCATTACCACAAAGAGTATTTTTTGCCTCTGGGGAAGGGAACATGACTGATATTTATTAGCAATTTCTACTGTGGAATAAAGCTTAAACTTTTTATTGATACCTTTTATATTTTACTTTTATTAAAGTTTTTATAGAATTCAAATTTTTATGATAACTTTTTATTATATATGTATGTCCTAGCTGTCCAATATTGTGTTGTGGTCTCAATAGCTACTTTATATGTTAGCATCCTATGTGTGTATGTAGAGTGTATTGTTTTATAGGAACTTGGTAAGAGAAATATTCAAGTATCTATTTTGGAAATACCTAGTTTTAGTAGCTTTCTGTGTCCTAATATAAACACTTTTTAATTTTTAGGAACAAGAAAATTTTAAATAAGAAGAAGTTGAAAAGAAAACAGAAGAGCAAATCAAAAGTGAAGACAAGAAGCAAGGTAAAGCTGTTGTAATTTATAGAGAATAAGGACATTTTCATACGGTAATTTGAGTGAAAATGCCAAGGTTTAAAAGGTATGGAATATAATTAGCAAACCATTATGTTTTTATGTGCTGAAGTAATTTTTAAAAAGTTCCTTTTATTTGATTCTGCTTTTATTTTCAGTTGTAATTGAGGATATTTCTTTACTAGTACCCTAGAAGTTAATATCTGGGAAAATTATCTTTATTCTTTTTGCTCATTCCTTTTGTGGAATATATCCATTGCTCTCCTCCTTTTTTACTCTGATTATATTACTAAAAGCAGTAAAACTGGCTTGTGAGTTGGGACTTGGATTTGGGTTCATTCTGTGCCTTTTTTTTTTTTTCCAGTACTGGGGTTTGAACTTAGGGCCTACACCTTGAGCCACTCCACCAGCCCTTTTTGTGATGATTCTTTTTTGAGATACGGTCTTATGAACTATATGCCTGGCCTGTCTTCAAACTGTGATCCTCCCCATCTCTGCCTCCTGAGTTGCTAGAATTATAGGCATCAGCCACTGGTGCCCAGCTGTATGCCTTTCTTAATGAATTAAGAATGCTCTTGGTGTGTCTGAATTGTCCTTAACTTTTTTTGACTGTTGACAGCTGTGTAAAAGAAAAGTCAGTATAGAATATTTGATTTGGGGATACCTTAGAAACTAGAGGTCTACTTAAGATAGAAATCTTGTCTATGAAGTACACCTAGTTTTTTTCTTAAAACATTTAGGTGCCAGATTCCATTTTCTATAAAAGAATCCTTTATTGAACAGCAATACTAAGAAACCTAAACAAGAAGAAGAGAAGAGTTGTAGCTCTGGTTTCTGAACAGCTCCACTTTGGGTTAGAGAAATAGCTTAGCTGAGTCTCATACTTAAGTTCCAAAGACAAATGTTCTTAATTAGTGTTCTTGCGATTGTAATTAAGTAAAATCTACTTGGAAGTAGTAAATCTAAAACAAAATAAAGTAGTGAGGGGATGGGATATATTTGTTGACTCTGTCTTAAAACAGATAGATGCAGGGATTAAATAATGTCCTTGAGACTGTGTCTTCACCTCTTGCTCCTGCTGTCCTCTGTATGTGAACATTTTGCCTGTGAATAAGTACTAAAGCTGCTGGCAACTCCATCTTCAGCTTCTTTGAGAAGAGGCAGTCTCTTTTACTGGTTCTAGCAGAAAGTTGGGTAGGATTTTTGATTGAATTATGACATTTACTTTGGGCCAGAAGATGTTGGTAACTTTGGTTAGACTGTGTTATGTTTGTAACTCAGTGATGAGCAGGCCACATGGAATGTGGGAGGGATAGTGACCCCAAAACTTAATAACCCCAAAAGTGTTATTGGGGAAGGCAGATAAATAATACGTGTCTACTGTATTGCCTCATTATTTTTGCTTTTGGAATAGAAGAGAGAGGTAGAGATCGCCCTTATTATCCAAAACACTTCTAACAAGTGTCACTCTGATTTCCAACATCTACCCATTTTCTACTTTTGATACTGTGTGCAAAATCAGAGGATAGGAATCTTGAACATCTTTTTAAGTTCTTTCAAGTTTTCACTTGGGAAATCAAGGTCTTTTGTCCCCTTCAATTCATCTCTAACTAGTTTTGTGCCCTTAGAAATGTTCTTTTCCTGTCTTCAGTATTTGTGATAAGAATGACGGAAATAAATTATTTCATTTATTCCTTAAACATTAATCGGATGCTGTGTGTAGGCATCATGGTAAGTGTTTGAGATACAGAAAGAAACTTCCCCCCCACTCATGATGAGTGTATAAAAAGTAAAATGGTGTTTTCCTGCCCTCTTTTAGTATTTTCAGATTATTTTTCATCCACTCTATTTTTAAAAGTTATTTTAAAAATGCCATTTAGCTATACCACTTTGTATCTTTATTCCCTCTTTTTCTCCTTATTTATCAGCCATCTCTTTTATTTAGTTTCCTTCTGATCCAGCTTAGTTAGATACCATAGACTTTAGTTTGAGGAAAATCTCTTGCTTAATCTAGTGTAATAATTCCATATAGCTGCTGAAACAAATTTTACAAACTTGACCTAAAACTCCACCAGTTGTCTTAGATTCTGAGGTCTGAAGTCCAAAATGGATCTCACTGGGCTAAAATCAAGGTGTCAGTGTGGCTGCATTCCTTCTGGAGGCCCTAGGAGGGTATCTGTTCCTTGCCTTTTCCAACTTCTAGAGACTGCCTCATTCCTTGGTTTATAGCCTTTTTCCTTCATCAAAGCCAGGAATGGTTGAGTTTTCACATACTATATCACTATGACAATTTTCTTTTGTGACATCTCCTTCTCTGACTATACTAGTCTTCTCTTTAAGGGTCTGTGCAGTTATGTTGATTGAGTTCACTCGCATAATCCAGCATACTCTTCCATTGCAAGATCCTTAATTTGAAACATCACAGAGTTACTTTTACCGTGTAGGTATCATATCAGGTTTTGGGGATTACGGTGTAGATGGTTTTGGAGGCCATTATTATGCCTATCACGCTCAATCTTTATCAGTCCAGCTGCTTTCTCTTTCTCTATGAGTATCATGTGCCACTGAAGGGAGTTAAGCAAGAATGAACTAACAGTAGACATTGTTGTTCACAGTCTCAAATAGACCTTCCATAGACAGATGACTTTACTGTTTTTTTAAAATAATTTTCCCATTGTCACTATTTCAAACTTTGCTATTTTCCTCAGAAGTCTGATAAACCCTACCCTTCAATGTATGACATCACTTAAAGGAGAAATCAAATCTGTTGCACAGGAAGCTTCCTCAACATTCTGATATAAAATGTGTCTATCTTAGGTCAGGTTTTAGGGATTTGAAGTGTTGCAATTTAATGAGTTTTGAAATAAAATATGTATGTGTGAAACTACTATTTTAATCAAGGTACAGAATATTTCCATTATCTCCAGGGGTTTTCTTATCCGCTGCTGTATTCCATTCCATTCCCCTACAGTCTTGGCTACAGACAACCACAGATGAATGTTCTGTCATTGTAGATCAGTTCTTTTTTCTAGAATATAATATAAATTGATCATACAGTGTATGTTCTCTTTTCTATCTGACCTCTTTTCCTTAACATAGTGATTTGTGTTCTCATTGTTATATAAATCAATAGCTCATTCCATTTTTCTTTGCTTATTAGTATCTCACAGTGTGTGTATATCACAATTTGTTGACCTATTCATCTGTGAATGGACATTTTGGTGCTTTTTCCAGTTTTTGGCCCTTGAAAATAAAGTTCCTATGAACATTTATGTACTAGTCTTAGTGTGAGTATATGTTTTTCATTTCTCTTAGGTGAATAACAGGAGTGGAATAGTTAGGTGGTGTTTCCTTTGACAAATTTTCAAGCTTTTTGAGTCTTTAAAAAACTCAAAAGCAATTTGTACTCATGGCTAAGCTTTATTACAATGAAGAATACAGAGCAAGGAGCAGAAAAAAAATATAGTATAAGTGGTTTTTAAGGAGTTCTGGTAGAAGCTTCCTAGTTCTTTCTTGTCTGAGGATCCAAGGAATACTTTTTCTCTGGACTGAACTATGAGGAAATATGTGGAAATCTCTTCCCAGATGAGTATTAGATACTGAGACCTTTTGTGGGTCTGGTCATTTGGGCATTATCTGCTAATCATGTCACCAGGGCAAGTGAAAGTCAGGTGCATCATCTTATCAGTTGTTTTTTTTTGTCGGGGGTCGGGGTGTAGTACTGGGATTTGAACTCAGCCTGGACCACAATTCTCCTATTTATGTTTCCCCACATAGCTTGCATGACAGGTGCATGCCACCACTCCCAGCCATTGGTTGAGTTGGGGTCTCATAAATGTTTTTCCTGAGCTGTCTTCAAACAATGAAGATATTTAACTCCGGATATTCAACTCCCAAGTAGCGAGGATTACAGGCTTGAACCACCGTGCCCATACCGCCTCCTCTTTTTATAATTGTGTTCTTATTGAATTGTTAGAGTTCTTTATTTTGGCAGAACTGGTGTTTAAACTTGGCCTCATGCTTGCTAGGCAGGCACTCTACCACCTGTATACCTAGATAAAGTCTTTTGCCAGATAGCTGTATTCCAAAAAATTTATCCAGTTCTGTGGCTTGCTGTTTTCTTTTCTTTTTGTAGTGAAACTGATAGTAAAGTTTAATAGGGATGAAATACACTTTCAAAAACTGAAAGTGTTGTCTCTAGAGCAAGAATGAGAACAATCCCTTTTTCTTTTCTTGAACTGCTTAGAAGAACAGAAGTTCTTAAGTTTTATAAATCTAATTAATTGACTTTTCTCCCTTATATTATTCGTGTATTTTATGCTATAGGAAATCTGTGTCTACCTTAAGGTTGCAAAAATTTTCTACATTAGATTTCTTCTAAAGATTTTATAACTTCATATACTAAAGTATATGGTCTATTTCAAGTTACTTTTGGTTTTAAGTGTTGATGTTAGTTTCTCATTGCTATTCAATTGATCCAGTACCATTTGTTAAAAAGGCTCCCCCCCCCATTAATTGTTTTGACATCTTTGTAAAAAGTTAGTTAACCATATTTGTTGGGTTTCTTTCTGGAATCTGTTTTGTTTAGTTGTCTTTATACTGATAATATATGTCTTAAAATCAGGTAGTATATCTTCCAGCTTTTCATGGTTTTTATAAATTGCTTTAGCTACTACCATAGTTTGATATAGGACATTAAATGTTCTCTAACAGCCCATGTGTTGGGGCTTGGTCCCCAGGGTGGTGCTATTGAGAGTTTGGTGGAACCTTTGAGGCATTGGGGTCTAGTGGGAGGTCTTTAGGTTATTGGGGTTGTGCCCTTGAAGGGTATGGAACCCTGGCCTCTTGCTCTTCTTGTGGTTTCTGGTCATGAGGTGATGGATTTGTTTCACCACGTGCTTCCCCCATGACACATTGCCTTATCATAGGCCCAAAAGCAATGGGTTAATCATGGATGGGAACCTCCAAAACTACTAGCCAAAGTGCACCTTTCCTTTTTATAAGTTGGTCATTTCAGGTGTTTTATTATAGTGATGGAAACAGACTAAAACTAGCTACTTTTGGACCATTATGCTGCCATATATTAAGACCAACTTGTCAATTTCTATTTTTAAAAAATCTTTTGAACTTTATTGGAATTGCATTGAATCTATAGATTTGGAGAGAATTGTCATTTTAATGATGCAGAATTTTCCAACTTATGAACATGGTATAGATATCTATTTAAGCCTAATTTAACTCAGCAAAATTTTTTAGTTTTCAGTGTATAAGCCTTCTACATATTTTATTAAATTTATCTTTAATTGTATTTTTTATGTTATTGTAAATGCTATATGTAACAGTTATTTGTTTTGAAATGATTGTAGCATGAATACAGTTTTGTTAAGAAATACTTTAGTTTCCCCAAATGATAACATTTTGTACAGTTTCATAATCAGGAAGTCTACATTAATACAGCCCACTATCTTATTCAGATTTCACCAGTTTGACATATACTTATTTGTGTGTGTGTGTTTATGTGTACCTAATTCTGTGTAATTTTACCATGTGTGACCATTGTCACAGGATATTAAACAGTTCTATTATAAGATCCAGTCTTACTGCTGTCTCCTTCCTTCACCTCTCCTTAGCCTCTGACAGTGATTAATCTTTCTCCATCTCTAAAATTTTGCTATTTCAAGGATGTTACCTAAATGGAATTGTGTAGTACATAATTTTGGGGGGATTGGCTCTTTTTTTTCCTGGACTTGGCATAATTCTTTTGCAATTCATTTGACTGGTTACACATACCAAGAGTTCGTTCATTTTCATTGCTGACTAAGCATTTCATAGGATGTATGTACCACAGTTTGTTTAACCATTTACCTATTACTAGACATCTGGATTATTTCTAGTTTTTGGCTATTTTTGAGTAAGGCTTCTATGAACATTCAAGTACTTTTTTTTGTCTGGGAACACAAGTTTTTATTTCTCTGGTATACATGCCTACCAGTATAATTACTGAGTTTTGTTTTAGGTACATGTTTAGTTTTGTAAGAAATTGTCACATCTTCTCTCCAGAGTGGCTATGTCATTTTACTTGCCCATCACCAATGTATGAAAGACCCAATATCTCTGTAGCCTTGCTAGCATTTGATGTCACTATTTTTAGTTTTATCTATTCTTGTAAGTGTATATTATATCTCATTTTTATTTGTCTTTTCCTAATGACTAATGATGCTGTTTTGTTTTGTTTTGTTTTGTTTTGTTTTTGGCAGTACTGGGGTTTGAACTTAGGGCCTCATGCTTAGTAGGCAGGTGTTCTACCACTTGAGCCATGTACCTAGCCTGATGTTGAATCTCTTTTTATGTGCTTATTTACCTTCTATGTATCATCTTTGGTGTCTCTGCTCATGTCTTTTGCCTCCTTTCTTATTGAATTCCATGTTTGTTTGTTTGTTTTGCAGTACTGGGGTTTGAACTCAGGGCCTACACCTTGACTCACTTCATCTGCCCTTTTTTGTGATGGGTTATTTAGAGATAGGGTTTTGTGAATTATTTGCCTGGGGCTGGCTTTGAACTGAGATTCCCCATATCTCTTCCTCCTGAGTAATCAGGATTAAAGGCGTCAGCCACCAGGGCCCAACTGTTGTTTTTACTGTTGAATTTTGAGGACATATACTCTGGATACTAGTCCTTTGTTAGATACATGGTTTGCAAATATATTCCCCCTGTCAGTGACTTTAATTTTATTATTTTTAAAATGACATTTTAAATTGTTCATTTTAAATATATGGTTATACTGGTTATCTTTATGTATTGTTCTTTGACTACTAAATCAACATCCTGTTTCTAGAAGCTTTTTGTAAATTCCTTAAGACTCTCTACATTCTTCAGGAAATAAAGATATTTCTTTTCTGGAAGATGTTTTCTTCCTTATTATGCCCTTGTAATGTTTTTTCTTGGCTTATTAAATTGGATAGGATATTTGCCTTGTTCTCTGTCTTAGGAGGGTGTCATTTAGTCTGTTACCAGGTTAATTGTATTTCACAGATACCCTTTATCAAGTGGAAGAAATCCCTTCTATTCCTAATTTGCTTAGATTTTTATCATGAATTGGTATTAGAATTTTGTCAAATGTTTTTTCCATGCTTATTTACCATATCTTTTGTTTTTTGCTCTATTATTTTTATTCAGGTGTGGAATTATACTGATTGTTTTTCTTGTGTTCTATCACCATTGCTTCTTCTGGTTAAATACTAGTTGGTTATGCTATGTTACTTTTTTCTATATTGTTAAATTTGGGTTTCTAATATTCTTTCTAATATCTCTGGAAGGTTTTGCTTACAGTTACATGCCAATTGAACTTTAACATATATATATTTTTTTAAAGCAAGAGAGTTTATTGAGTTAGAAAAGTGTAAACTGGGAGAGTAGAGCCCCCAGAGTTGTGGGGGAGGGGGTCTCAGAGAGGGTGCCCCTAACACATTTTTTTATTTAATGAAATTTTTCCTTTTTTATTCCTTATTCCTTATGGAGGAAGGGTGAAATTTTGAGACTAAGCATTTTTGGAATCTGTTTATCTTAGATACTTCCTGGGCTTACTCTAATTGTTAGAATTTGCATTTGTAAAATATTTTATACAGCGCTTTATGTTTATAATGGTTTTATATATAAATCTAAAAATGTGGTTTCCTTGTGATGAGTAAAGTGCTGGACACAAAAGAGAAATGGCTTAACCTTAACAAATTACGAAGCATGTGATTTTTAGCCTATATCCAAACTGATATCTAAGAGAGAGCTCAGGGAAACATGTGTCCATACTCTATGGTTTTCTTGACATTATTGAATGAGAATACAATTAGACGACTTGATAAAAATTTAAGGTTTACCTGAGCCCTAATTTCTGTGTGAATTCTTATGTCTACTTTTAAAAGAATTCAAAATGTAATTTAGCTTTATAGTAGGACTTTGAGACTCTACCACATGTTTGGTGTCCCTTAAAAAAACCTTAAGTTAATGTCCTTTCACATGCCTCTACAGCTTTTAAGCTTTGCTCGCTCTATTCCTGTTTTGGAGATATAAGGATATTTATGTTAAGTTCTTTGCATGACTCTTTCCAGCCCTTGTAGGTTGGTTATTGCTATGTTACTCAAAAAGTAGTGAAGTACAGTAGAAGGGGTACTAGAAATTGAGTCAGTAGACTTAAAACATTTTTGTTAGGTCACTTATTTGAGTTATGCAAATCAGCTTAGCCTGCTTAATCTTTTTTTTTTGTTTGTTTAAAATGTAAATGGGTGATGCTGGAAAAGAATGTGAAATTGAAATATTCTATCTTGTATTTTAGTCTGAAAACTTGGAGACTACAGTAATCATACCAGATATCAAACTACATAGCAATCCTTCTGCTTTTAACATTTACTGTAATGTACGTCATTGCGTTCTGGAATGGCAGAAAAAGGAAACATCATTGGCAGCTGCATCTAAGAACTCTGTGCAGAGTGGAGAATCAGAGAGTGATGAAGAGGAGGAGTCCAAAGAGCCCCCCATCAGGCTTCCAAAGGTAAGTCATGGAATTCTATTTAGATGCATCACCTCCAGGTGTTCTGGTCATATAGTACATGTATTTATTTACATTGCCAGAAATGCCTTGCTTTCTATAAAATTGTGCATTAAAGATAACCTGGCTTATGGATAAAAATAAGTTTGGGACAGATAAGAAATCTTTCTGGGACTTTGTAACTAGAGTAGTAGAAATGTCAGTAAGTAATAACACAGTGGGGAGTACTTGGGCAGCCCAGACAAGTTGATCAGTGGACTGGAGTGGGATGCTACAAGTGGGCAGAAGCAGCAGAGTGGAATGCTGGCATGGAGGAAGTGAGCCATGGCAGATGGGAGTGGAGCCCTAAGTCTGTGGGATACCAGTAAGGTGAATACAGAGGAAGTGCAACTGCCACAGATCAAGTGCCATGGAAAGCTGGGGGTGTTCCCCATGGGGAGTCATCCCTGGGCACAGGTATGTATTTTCATTTTTCTTGAAATAGAACTAAGAAGACTCCTGACTGAGCAGCAGCTAAGCAGAGAGCCTTTTCCTTTTCTGCCTAAGTTTGTAATTATACTCTTACAGTTGTAGCTCACCTGACCCAGGAAAAAAAATTACATGTGGGCCTGGGCATGGTGGTACATACCTATAATCCCAGCTACTCAGGAGGTAGAGATCAATAGGATTATGGTTTGTGGTCAGCCTGCAAAAAGTTAGCAAGACCCTTTCTCAAGAAATAAGCCAGGTGTAGTGGCACATAAACCCAACTGTGGAGGTATAGGTGGAGGAGCATGGTCCCAAGCTGGCCCTGGGCAAAAATGTGAGACCCAATCTGAAAAATAACTAATGCAAAAAAAATCACATGTGAACCAGGCCAACTTGTACATCATTCTGATACCACTCCTTATCACCAAAAGCATACAATCTAATTGATGTTATAGTAGAACAAACTTTTTAATGTACTCTGTGCTAAGTACTGGTATATTTCATGACTAGTGTTATTTTATATATAAAACATTTTTGTGATATAGTAGGTAAAGTTGTATTCCCAGCCCTGTAGTTAAGTACTTTTAACAAAAAAGGTGAAAATGTATACATATTTTTGAATGGTATCTTTATGTCATTCTTTCATATTGCTTTTTTCTAAATATAGACATGTTTAAATGATTGGCTTTTCTCAAATGTTTTGTATTATTGCCTTTTTTACCAAGCTAATACCTTAAAACTATGCCTTTAAGATGTCCTTAATCATATTGTCAGATTTTCTTGCCTTCTGTTTCCTAGGGAAATAAAGGTTTTGTGAACTTTTTCAGCTTCTTGATTGGTCATCTGTATCTCCTGTTTTAGAGCAGGAATCCTTCTCCTTCCCTTTTTCCCCTCTCCAGTCTTAACTGTACCTACTTTGCTAGCTTCTTCCTATAATCTAAAAGGAGCAATTGGGAGCATGGCTCAAGTGATAGAGTGCTTGCCTAGCAAGTGCAAGGCACTGAGTTCAAAACCCAGTACAGCATTACCCCACTCCCCCAAGAAAAAAAGAAAATAAATGCAAGCATGCTTGTCTTTTTCCTGTAAGCCCTTCCTGGTGAAGATCTTGGTCTCTAACTGTAACTTTTTGTGCTTAATTAGGAAAGCTTGAAGGAAAAAATATGTAGTTAGGTTAGGATGTAAGGCTGTAGGACTTGCATAATGTACTTTTGGTAAGAATACTGTGAGTGTAGAGTGGAAGAAAATATTTGCCAGCTATACATCAGACAAAGGACTGATAACCAGAATATATAGGGAACTCAAAAAACTAAACTCTCCCAAAATCAATGAGCCAATAAAGAAATGGGCAACTGAAGTAAACAGAACTTTCTCAAAAGAAGAAATTCAAATGGCCAACAAACACATGAAAAAATGCTCACCATCTCTAGCCATAAAGGAAATGCAAATCAAAAGCACACTAAGTTTCCACCTCACCCGTTAGCCATCATTTAATAGCCATCATTAAAAACACCACTAACAACAGGTGTTGGTGAGGATGTGGGGAAAAAGGAACCCTTGTACACTGCTGGTGGGAATGCAAACTAGTGCAACCACTCAGGAAAAAAAATTTGAAGGCTTCTTAAAAATCTAAACATAAATCTGCAATATGATCCAGCAATACCACTCCTGGGGATATAACCAAAGGAATGGGACACAGGTTACTCCAGAGGCACCTGCACACCCATGTTTATTGCAGCACTGTTCACAATAGCCAAGTTATGGAAACAGCCAAGATGCCCCACTACTGATGAATAGATTAAGAAAATGTGGTATTTATACATAATGGAATTTTATTCAGCCATGAAGAAGAATGAAATTTTGTCATTTGCAAGTAAATGGATGGAACTGGAGAACATCATTCTGAGTGAGGTTAGCCAGGCTCAGAAGACCAAAAATTCTATGTTCTCCCTCATATGTGGACTTTAGATCTAGGGCAAATACAGCAGTGTTGTTGGACTTGGGTCACATGACAAGGGGAGAGCATGTACGGGATGTATGGGGGCAGGTAAGAAACCCAAAACATGAAAATGTTTGATGTCCCCACTGCAGAGGAACTAATACAGAAACCTTAAAGCGACAGAGGTCAATATGAGAGGGGATCAGGAACTACGAAAAGATCAGTTAGAGATGAATCAACTTGGGTTGTAACATATTTGTACATAGAAGCAATGCTAGGAATCTCTCTGTAGCTATCCTTATCTCAACTAGCAAAAATGCTTTGTCTTATTATTGCTTATACTTTCTCTTCAACAAAATTAGAAATAAGGGCAGAACTGATTCTGCCTGGGAGGGAAGGGGGTTGGGGGGTGTGAGAGTGGGAGAGGGTAGGGGGGTAGGGGAGAGAAATGGCCCAAACAGTGTATGCACATGTGAATAAACGAATTAAAAAAAAAGAAGAATACTGTGAGTGGCAGAGAGGGGAGTTAAAGGGGAGAGACAATGAGGGTGATCTAACCAATGTATAGTATAAGCTTAATTGAAATTGTCACTATAAGTTCCCACTGTATAATGAATATATCCTAATAAAAAATTTTATAATAAAAAATTCTGTATTCATTCTGTGTAGAGAGTATATCAGCCATATTCACCTTCTTAATTTCCTTCTTTTACCATTCCCCTCTCGCATGTGACCTCCCCTTAGCATAACCTATCTTTCATAGTTTTGCTATATTTGCATTAGGTTTATATTTTACATATCAGAGAAAATGTGGCTTTTGGCCTTCTGGACCTGGCTGACTTCACTTAAGATGATGTTCTCCAGTTCCATCCATTTACCTGCAAATGACAAAATTTCATTCTTCTTTGTGGCTAAAATTCCATTGTATGTAAAAATCACATTTATCAATTTCTCCCTTTCCTAGCCCTTCCATCCTAATGTTACACACATGTATTGGAACTTTTATTTCAGTTATTGTAGTTTGTAAAATTTCTAAAAAAAAAAAAGAATACTATGGGTGGGGCATGGTGAGTCATTCTTAAATTGCGTATTGCGAGGGGAAACAAGTCTAGAGAAATCTTTCAGCCAGGAATGCAAATGTTGAACAATAAACTGTGGTATAGATTAAAAGATACTGTATAATTATTATTAACTGATTCTTAGACTATTTTTAAACATCAGAATAAATGAATATTAAATAAAGTATCTGGCATTCTTAACATTTTTTCAGCATGACTGACACAGTTAAAAGAGTTCTTTCAAAGAAAACTAAAAGTCCCAAGTGGTTAATACTGAGTTTTCCACTATGTATTTATCTATGGGGAAATAGGGTGTAGTGGTTAAGAGCATGGGTTCCAGCACTCATCCTTAAAATACTAAGTGATGCTAGGAAAATGAGGGCCTCAATTTTGTCATCTATAAACTAAAGATAAAGCTACCTCATAGGATTTGGTGAAAATTGAGTTAACAGGCGTTGAGTGTTTGAGAGAATAGTACCCGACACATAACATAATACTTGCTCAATAAATGATAGCTGTAGTTATGAATGTCAGGTTGGAGACAAACGAGAATGTATAGATACCCATAGTTTTCACTTCCCAATGAACCCTGCAATTTATTAAGAAAATTTTTATAGCCACGAAAGTGGAGCTTCCAGAGAATCGATGGGATCATGTGATGGATGAGTGTGAAGAGAGGAAGAAGTGGTGAGAAGAGCTGTGCATTGACAGCCAGGCTGCTGCAGAGGAAGGAGTCCCAGTGGGAAGGGGAACTTTTTTTGATGTGTTTGGCATCCCTTTGCATCACATGAAGGATTGACACAAAGGGATGAGACCATTATGATTTGATGTGAAGGGAATTTGAGGGCAGGTGTGAAATGGCGTTTTTCTTTTCCTTTTTACCATTTCTGTCTGTTTCCCCAAACACTGCTGTCTTTTGTCTTGAGTTCCTTCTTTTTCTGTTCTTCTGTTGTTCCTCCCTCATGTGCAGCTTTTCCTTTCCTTCTCACCTAGATTTTTCCTGCTCCTTCTTCCTTCACATAGCTAGGACAGGTTTTATTTGTTGTTAAATTATTGGTGTAACAGTTTTGTCTTCCCCTTCTCCCTCCCTCCCACTTGAGCCATGCCACTGGTCCTTCTTCTTTTTAAAAGTTAATTAAATTTGACTATTAAATCTTGACTGTCACCTTTTTGGGTTTTTTTTTTTTTTGGTTTTTTTGGTTTTGTATCTTCTGAGTCAGTTATCACTGATATTTTAAAGACATCTTTCTTATCCTTCCTTTATTGCCTCTATGTTTTTTTTTAATTTGGATATATTTGTTGTACAGGGGTGATTCATTGTGACAGTTTCAAATAGGTTTACATTGTACATTGGTTAACTTTCTGCCATCTCTCTCCCTCAACCCTTTCCCACCCCACTTAAAGCATTTGCAAGAAGTTTATTCAGCTTGTGCTGTCACTGATACTCAGATCATCTAAAGCTTTCTAAATTTCATAGATATATAATTTTTATTTGGTTTCTTATTTCCCATTTGAGTATATATACATATATACATACATAT